CTCCTGGCGGGCCGGGTAGAGACGTTTCCCATCCAGCTCCATTTGGTCCAGGAACTCCAGGCAGACCAGGTTGTCCGGGTGGGCCTGGTGGACCGGGTAGCCCGTTTGGACACGCTCTGAAATGAACATTAATCAAGTATCAGACATTGAACATTTACATTTGAAAATAGAACAGGACGCAGCAGTGACGTCATCGACAAACCAGTACCTGCACTGTCCTCGAGCGTCCATAGCTATAGGTACAGCATTTCCACGAGCTCCCGGTGCTCCCGGTTGGCCTGGAAGGCCTGGTGTGCCATCCTCTCCCGGTTCACCGGGCACGCCAGGAGGTCCAGCTGGACAGGCTCGATCGCCATCACAATGGCAGTTGCCTTCGGCTTGGCGGTTGCGACGGAAGTGGCGGCGTTTTGTGGAACGACTAACGCGCACATGAACACTTAAAGAAATGATTAGTGGCTAGATTTTCTAGAAGAGCCAAAGCAATACTCACTCGGTTTGTTTTTCCATGTCTCGGAATTCGAGCATGTCCCGTTCAATTTCGCTCGAAATTTCTTCGAGTTTTGACGACAACCGCGTTGCAAACAGGAGGATCATCACTGTGGCGCTGATGGACAATGCCATAGACGTATAGGCAACATTCTTCCCATTCATTCTTTCGAGACAAGCCCCTTCAAAACTGGTCATTTAATCGAAATCGATCAGTAACTCATTTCTACTGAATAGTCATCACAGTGCCTGTCTCACAAAAACTTTGGGTAAACCTTGTAATATTATAAAAAAAAACTTGAAAGGTGAAAAAAAGAGGTCTTACTTCGTCGGAATGGGGCCGATTAGCTGATGTTAACAGTTTATCATTGGTTTTTATACTGGCAAGAATCACTCGGGTAGGTGGAACAAACAAGTTATGCATCGAGAAACCGGTGCCAATACTTATTACTGTTACAACCACGAGATGATTTGTGGCAAACTTTGAAAATGGTCTTGGACAATTTCAGCAGCACATATAACTCTTCCGCTCTTCAACTTGTTCCATTGAATGTCCTGGGATTGACCGCCCTCTCACGAATCCTTCCACTGACGAATTGGGAACACTCTAGGGTTCGTTTTTGCAAACGCTTGGTATCCATTAATGAGCGTTCTACAAAATAAAAAAGAGGATTAAGTAATTTTAGTCAAGAGCTGCGCAGTGCAATCGTCTGCAACGTTTCGTGGGACAGCTCTAACATGGGATACGAAGAATCCAATAGTGGTTTACGATCGTCACTG